AACGCCCGTAACTAAGAAACAAATGCTAATTCGATGATGCCGGCTGGCACACTGATTCACTATGAATGTAGGCCGCACCCCCTAGCGGCAGAAGCTCGTACTACATCCGGTTCGCCCTCTATTGACACAGTCTGAAACTTTCCGATCGCACCTCGTACGTTGTGGTAAAGTGGTTAGCATCCCGGCTTCGTTTTCTGGAAAAATCCGGGCTGAAATCTCGGCTCAGATCCCGTGTAACCTTACTGAGGTTTCCCCGTGGTATAATTTGGTCGCTCCATGGAGTGACTTAAAACTTAAAAGACGTCACGACAGCTTTAGGCCTTGAAGCTGGCAAATGTAAATGTCCCAGCCGCGACATTTTACACGAAGAATTTCTGTGGCTACAAGGCCAGCGTTCTAACCGCCAGATTATTCCAATCAGCAAACTTACGACGGAAATTACGTGCCCGAGAACGTAACTCAAATTTTTACAACTGATTCTATTGACAAAACATCTTCGAGTTACGCGTTTTCGAAACACACGGCACTCAAACGTGATCCCTCTGCAGACAACGCACTCATGTCACATGTTTCTTTGTCGTAATATTCATTCACAAAAACAAATGACCGCCCGCAAGAAAAACAACATGGCCGCCATCGCTTGTATTGACCTGCGGTCTCAAGGTCACACAACCCGGCAAGATACAAGGTCACTCTCGCTGTATTAAAACTGCGTTAATTCAAGTGACAACCCGATTAATCCAGCAATTCAACAGGTTCAACTGACGAGTGGCCTCTGCGTTGTTAAAAGCACGACAATTCTTGCGAGAAAGAAAATAGTACTACACTACGTAACATGCTATTAGCCTATTGTGATTTATATACATCATAGATACATACCAGAAGCTTCATAATAATGGATTCTATTCTCTTTCGGACCATTTTGAGTCGAATAATTCAGTTCTATTGTTGAAGTAAGTCAAAAGTCTTTGCCCAAACTCCCAGCTGAACTAAGTTAAAGTCTTTGCCCAAACTCCCAGCTGAACAGACAAGGAAGTGACAGGTACTCGGTTTACGACACTCGCGACAATGGAAACCTGCAAACCACCGCTCACTGTGAACTCGCGCTCATTCACGTATCAAAAGTTTCGGAGTTCTGTTAAGATGGCCCGGGAACACAAGCGGCGTTGAGGGGGCGGTCTGCTCCTCAGTCGTTCCTTGCGAAATCGACCAGTGACGTCACACTCACGCGCACGCAACAGATAATCGTACATCAGAATGAAATCATCCCCGATCTCTGACATCCTAAAATCGTGTTGGATATTTCTCCGAGTTTAGTCTCTATGACCAACGATCGCGAACGACTACAATTCAAAAGTGTAAATGCGTTTTACAGAATTGTTCCGTCCTGTTTGTTTATCGCAAACAATCCAGAATCCTTCTGAAGATACGAAACCGTTTAGATATTTGGACTCCTTGGATGGGGGATCGGCCTGACGTAATCCCTCTACCTACACAGAAAAAGTACACCGAAAAACGGGGGGGGGGGCCAAAGCATGCATAAATCTGGTTTCGAACCTACGATCCCCAGCGTAACAATTATTTTTTAAACATCAGTCCGTGTTCTTTAACGAAACTTGGGGCTTCCGTCTGAAAAGTCTAAAATCTACGCTAATTTCGCTATTTTCTTATAATCCTATTATAAATATTTCCTTCGCTCATAACAACTTCGTGCCTTTCATATTTCGTGGTACAATTTGACCTTTCCAATCGGTTTAAAATAGGACATTCATCCACTTCGCTGCCTCGCATTGAATCCATTGTATTTCCGTCTCCACGTCACTTCACCGCGTAATATTCTCAGAAAAAATATTTTAACCAATTTTCTCCTTTTTTCCTATTAAATCAACATTTTAATGGGGATTGAATTTTATGGACACAAAAAGTCGAATCTTCCTGTCACTATCGATTACTACGAAACGTCCTTTCCTATCGAAACCTTTTCATTCTTCGTATTATTTAAGTTCTTAATTTTTTTTTTACAGTTTATGTTGCCAACACTGTGGATGAGCAAATTTCAGGGCTGGAAACATCCCTAATATAATTTAATGTAAAGCTTCAAATTCCGTGTGGCAATAGATCTTTTGAAAATAAAATTTGTGTGACGTCCATCTGAATTTTTGTGTATTTACAAATTCATAATGAAACATTCCTACACGTTCACGATTACGAATAAATTAGTTTGACATTTGAAGGTTATGTTTGGTGAAGTGAACGCAATCATAACTGATACTAATCAAAATTATTCATAAAATAATTAAATTCCGTAACATGATACCAGAAGATAACGAAGGATATTTTATTAGTCTGACATCTTCAGGAGAGAGTGAATTTAAATGACACAGTAAGTTCTAAATATCTGTTAATTACTGAAATAAATAAATTGTCTTCTTCGCCACGTAATTAATTAACAAATAATTCTTTTGACTGAAATTTTAGGGCATCTGACAACACGTAGGTCATTTACGTAATATTTAACATTCAATTCTGTCTTCAAAGAAAACAGAACTCGTGGCTCCATTTTAAGGATCACTTGATAAGTGACGTTTAGAAAAATAATCACTTCTTATTCTGAGCATCGCTTGAAACCCTTAAATATATTCTGCGGAGAAATTTCACAAACCGAATGTCGAATTAGTCGGTACATACAGTTACCACTTAAAGTTTAAAGCGTTAAAATATATTTACCGTAAGAGTGTGATTCTGAAATAAACCTAACTAAAAACAGAATTAAGTTCAGAAAATGTCCAGGATTTGAATATATTTTTGATGATAAAGGAAAATGGAGGAACTTTCAGCGTAAGTTCACGTAAGCATTTTACGAAATCATAAAAACGTCAATAGTTTGGAATAATTCAAAATAGTTATAATTTGTTAATTAAAGACTGGAAAAAAAAATTATCTCAGTTTCCCAACGGAGAATATCCGACTCTTCCAACTTTAAACCAGGAGAGAGACCAACAGGAAGGAGAAATGCTTTCATCAGGTTGAGTTTTTCCGAGCACATAAAATGATATTTCAGTAATTCCTTACCTCAGATGACGTAAGATAGCAGAGACGTGAATCCGTGCTCTCGATGGACGCCTGCTGCACGATGCCATAGCGAGACTCCCGGTCACTCATGTAGTCAGAACGTAGACTGTCCTGGCGGTCAAACAGCCCCCTGCACAACCACCGTCAAATTCTAAGTTTCGTCTGAATTCAACGCCCATAAAAGCTCCTACTTCTTGTGAGGACGCGATATTAATTATTACACGTAAATTCACGATAAACATGAATACAGATAGAAATACACCCAACGCTAGGCTCAAACCTCCAACCACCAAATATAATCAAGTTTTAATCCGTGTAAATTTAAAAAAAAGATTGAATTATAGTAAATTTGTAAAAGTTTAAAGCCTGTTTGGAGTATGGAATGGGAACTCGCCTCTGCTCGAATGAATCCGCGCGGTTGGACTTGTATCCGCTGTCCCCCAGACTGCCCTCGTGTCGCAGGGAGGGCAGAGAGTCCCAAGGTGAGCGCCTGTGAGTGCTCTGCACGGAGCCCGACCTCCAGCCATCGGAGTGACGGAACCACTGGGCACGGGCAGATTCTCCGAGACAGGACGTGCACCTGCGGCGAGGCAATCGAGAAATTCCCTGTTTTTACAAAAACCCTGCCACGTTCACAAATTTTTTGTAAAATTACATTCTCTGTATCTTCCCACCTACGTCTTAGTCCGCCAAGTGGTCTTTTACAACAGTGGTATTCAACCTTTTTTGTTCGCGTATCCCCAGATATAATTTCTCTTCAACTTTGTACCCCCAAAGTTGTTGGTGTATAATTCAAGTTATACATAGTATATAATCTACATCTAAAATAAATTAAATAAATTACATTACTGATTATTCAGTGTTTATCATAAAATAATATATTTTTTAAAAATTTCACGTACCCCCTAAGATGTCTTCGCGTACCCCAGGTTGAATACCACTGTTTTACAAAAATATGCAGAAATTTCTCGCGTATTCTGTTCTACCCACTACATCCTTGAGTTAATCACCAACAAGAGGAACACTCTGTACATTAAACTTCGATATAACTTATCAGAAATTACATAGTCAAGAACTTGTGGCTAAATTTTGTGGCCACTTGAATCCAATCAAATCAAATTGCGATCCCACAAAATGGCTGACTTACCCCTTGGTAATGAGACCCTAAAACCCACACGACATGAGCCTGGGTGGTAAAATACCTGGGACCAAACCGTGTGTTTCGCCTACGTCAGTATCGTTTTGGTTTACGTGAAACAAGGACACAGACGAGTGAAGGAATGAGGGCCTCGGGTACCGCTGAGGCCACCTGCCTCTGGCGTGCGGGCGTACCTGGAGTTGTGGTCGCTGAGGTAGCCCCTTTCTCGTTCTCGCTCTCTGATGAGTTCGTTTCGGTCACTGTAGTAACCCTCGCGGTCAGTGGGTCGATCAAGGCCGATGCGATGTGGCAGAGGCAAGGTGGAGGACTTGTTCATACTGGCGCTGCTACACGGACCTGCGGAGACAAGAGAACGGCGTGGCCCGGAACTTGTAGGCGGAATAAATCATCCGGGGGTAATACGTTTCAATCTCTGATTTTTCACAAAGACGAAAACGTGGATTGTGATATCCTGAAGGTGTGTATTTATCTTTCGGGGAACTTTTAACCACCTGCAGAACGTCACAATCCAAAAAGACAATGATCAACATCTCAATAGATTTTGCTTGTTATCGTCAGATGAAAGCGACTGTGGTCCACAGCGTGGATCAGAAAAGTCGTTTGAGAAGCAACTCGTTAAAATATTAATCTTGAAAAGAATCACACGTTATGGGTAACCGAGAAATTGTCTAGAACAAGAGAATCTTTACTTAAAATTAAATTAAATTATTTGGTTATTCCGTCAAATCACAATGTATTTAAAATAAGATAATTAAAATATCATTCTTTGTTCCATATCGAATAATCGATTTACAATTCGAACAGTTACAACATGTTTCGGTTTTATTAAACCATCATCAGGTGTAAAATTATATTAAATTTAAAACTCAATTACAATTTTTTTTACAATTTTTCGTAGTGTAGTTTTTTTTGGAGGTCGTGTCCAGATATTTTCATATAATGGATCAACTTTATTGTTTGAAGTGATGCTTTTGATGTTTACATCGGTCAGAGATGAAATAGTAGACAACACAGTTGTGTCTGGAGGTGATCCAGAAGTATTACCGTATCCGATC